GGGGTTAGTTTAAGGAATTTAAGGGTCCAAAAAGGCAGGGTGACTTGGGAGGGGCCCATGAGGATCACGGGCCTGGGAGGCCGGGAGGCTGGGAGGCCTAGGCTGGGGTCTGAGGGGAATTTATGAGTGAGGAGGCCAGAGGGGAGCTTCCCCCACCTCAGGGCAGTGGGAATCCCACATGTGGAGCTGAAGTTGATGGACCAGTCACAGGTTGGGCTGGGAGCCTTTGGAGCCTCCAGGAGATGGTGTGAGCCAGATGAAGACGACAGGGAGGCCTGTTCCGGACTGGCCATGTACTGGACAGACCCAAGAGGTTCTGGGGACCTGCTTCCAGGCCCAAGATGTTCTTTCTATAAAAAGTCACTGTGGCCTGGTCTGTGTTTGTCATTGAAGCCGACTCACTATCCTGATCACAAGAAGTGAGACTAGTGTTGATGACTCAGCATGGGGCCCCCATGAGAGCTGGCCAGGTCTCTCCAATGAGGAGGTTTCAGATTGGATGACAGCAAGTCCACCAACCCGAGCAGCGCTGCTGGGCAGTATAAATGCCTGGTGGATTCACAGCTGGCAGTGGGGAGAATGATGGGCCGGGCCCTCTGAGGACGGGGCGGTGGGGAACCCTTCCAGCTCTACTACTAGGCCCCTCTCTACTCTCATCTTACTCCTCCAAGGCTGCTGCTCTCTCCACTAGACTGCACTGGCCCATGGGGGAGGTGAATTGGGAGGGTTAAAAACCAGCAAATAAGAAGAATTTACTTAAAAATCAAAGGGGAGATTTAAAAGTTAAATTTAAACAACTCCCTATGTCTATCAGTAAATTAAGATGCTAGATTGGGGAACCAATAGTCTTCAACATATGATTTACTTCTTTTACTTTGGCTGGATCAAAATTATTAAAAAAAAATCATTTCATAGATGCTGCCAAGCTGCTCTCTGAGGAGACTATGCCAGCTTATACTCCCACTGCAGTAGGAGGGTGCCTGTTTCTGCATAGCCTGGCCGTACAACGCTATCAAACTTTGTAGTGTTTTATTTTTATTTTTGAAAGATTTTATGTTTGTATTTTTAGACAGAAGGGAAGGGAGGAGAAAGAGAGGGAGAGAAACATCAATGTGTGGTTGCCTCTTGCACACTCCCAACTGGGGACCTGGCCTACAACCCAGGCATGTGGCCTGACTGGGAATCGATTCAGTGACCCTTCGGTTCACAGGCCAGCACTCAATCCACTGAGCCACACCAGCCAGGCTAAACCTTGTACTGTTTAATTTGGTAAGTAACAACCTGTATCTCATAGTTTTAATATATATATTTCTCTTACTATGAGGTTAAGCATCTTTTCATATGTTTAAGTATTTCTTTTTGTGTTCTGTGCTTATTTTTCTATTGGGTTGTTAACCTTTTGCTCATTGATTTATATATTTAAAAAAATTAGCCTTTTTCCTGATTACGTGACAATTTTTTTTACATGGTTGATTTAAAATTTTTTATTTTTGTCCCCAGGAAATTTTTAAAATGTGTATATGGTAAAATTTTTGTTTTTAAAATTTTATAGAAATTAAAATACTTTGTTTCATGGGTACTGCATGAAACTTAGAAATTTGAGGGTATATAATAGATTTTTGAAAGGTCTATTCACTTCAAGATTATATAAATTTTTCCTCATGTGTTTTCTTCTTTTTTACATTTTATAAACATACCAAGTTTATCCATTTTCCAGTTGATGAACATTTTGGTTGTTCTCAAGTTTTTGCTATTGCTGGGATGAACATATATAAGAGGTGTAATTTGGTGGGTTTCACTCCCCTGTATTGTCTTGGGTTGGTTTCTCCAGGAAAATGATTGGGAGGTTTACCTGCAGGACCACTCACTTGGGAGTGCTCTTTGGAACAACACCTGCAAGGAACTGAAGGAAGCAGGATTGGGTAGCGGGAGAAGCTGCCCTGCAATGTAGTCATAAGAGATACTCAGCTCTGGGGGGCTGGCTGGGATGATTGTTCAAGGTGTCCCAAACTGGGGCAGAGAAGCTTGGCCTCATACCCCGAGGTTGGCTACAGGCTGCCCCTGAGAGGGTGCTGTGCTCATCCTGGGCAAGGCAGCTCCCTTTAGAAAGGCCAATTTCCTGTGAAAAACTCACCTGCGAGCTCAGCAGCCAACTCTCTCTCCCAGCAGCCATGGAAGTGAGTGCCTGGGCGGAACCGGAGGGCAGCCCACCGACTGCATCCACAGGCCCATTTTAACTTCAGCGATTTTGCTGAACTGTTTTTCAGGTTGTTTGTACCAACTTCTGCACTATATTAGAATTTGTATTACTATTCTTTCCGTTCCACATTTTCTACCTTGGTTTTCTTGTACTAATTCCCAGATAATTTCTCCAGGTTTTTCTTGGTGTACAAAAAAACGGTCTCTTTGGCTATTGGTTGTTGTTTAACTCATTTGAGTTTTCTTTTTACTGGAAGTCCCAGGTAGTTCTTTAAAAATATCTTTTTTTTTCCTTAAAAGCAAATTATTCCTTTCTTATGGTTTTGGTTTCTTTATATTTTTAAGAATATGAAACATCTCCTTTACTATAATCAATGGTTGGTTTTTTTTTTAAAGCCCCAGGGCTCTAATTTCACTGGTTGTTATGCTGTTTATTTTCATGCAGGCTTGTTTCTTCACATTTGTAATTTTGTAGGGGTTCTGTGCTGGCTGTACCTGAGGTCCAGAGAGGCTTTGTGTCTGCTTCTTAAAGCAGGCTGAGGAGTAGTCCACTCTTTCTTTTCTTGCTTTCTCCCTTCCTTCCTTTCTACTGTAAGATTTTATTTATTCATTTATTTATTTATTTTAGAGAGGGCAAGGGAGGGAGAAAGAGAGGGAGAGAAACATTTATGTGTGAGAGAAACATCAATTGGTTGCTTCTTGTACTGCCCCAAAAGGAACCCAACCCACAACCCAGGCATGTGCCCTGACTGGGAATTGAACTGGCGACCTTTTACTTTGCAGAACAACACACAACCAACTGAGCCGCACTGGTCAGGGCAGGCCCCCTTTCTTTTTCTTCCTCTCCCTCCCTTCGTTTCCTTCTTTCAGTCTTTTTTTTTTTTTTTTTGTACTTTTTTTCTTTATTTTTTAATAAGAGTTTTGTAAAATTAATGCAAAGAGTGTATCTTTTAATTCTCTTAAGGTTGTTTTCTTTTTAGTCTAAATATTTTATTTGTCCTCAATGTCATGAAAAAGAGACCAGGTGGCTACCTGTTGTCCCCAAGGTTTTGCCCATGGGTAGAAAGCAGAGCCCAAGGCCCTGGATCAATGCAGACCTGGCAAGGCCTCTTCCTAGCCGGGTGACCCAGGCCCACTCTGTACTCTGTCGTGCTGCCTCAGAGGGTTGTGGTGAGATTAGAGGTGATATATGCACAATGACTGGCACAAAATAGGCGCTCAGTATAGAATATCCCTTCGTGATGGTAATGACAGGTGCCAGGTAACAACAGAAAACTCGTACTGATCCTCAGCTTCCCTTCTCTGAACGGAGTCACTCTGTATCCTGTTTTGTCTCCAGCACTGGGAAGAGGACTGGCCTTGCACCACTGAGCCAAAGTCCTCAGTTATTTTTCTCCCACCTGAGGGTGTGGGAAAGGATAGGGAGGTGAGAAAAATAAACCAAGCAAACTAGAAGAGTCCATCATGAGCAAGGCTATCAACTTCAGAGATGCCCGTGTTCCGAGCATTCCTCTTCCTCTTCCCTGGGGACTGTCGCTCTCCTGGCTGAGATGAACCACGTGCACTTGACAGTTCGGATGGCCAGCCGGCCAGCAAACAGGAAAACAGGGAGGCGAGGGTCAGACGTGCCCGCCACCTTAGTCTGTGAGCCTCGCCGGCACAGGGATCGCCTCCCTCGGGCCCGTGTACATGCTTTGTGCTCGTTTGCTGGCTCTTGGCTCTCCCACTTGCTCCTCTACCACAGGGGCTGGGAGTCTGCAAACTACATTCGCTGGACTCCCTTAGCTGTTTGTTTGTTTTTTCCAGTGGGAGGTACTGGCAACAGACTGGAAGACAAGAAGAAGGGAGACACTGTCCCTCCACCCCAAGCTGATGGCACTTTTGGCAGGAGCAGCTGAGTTTGAGCTCCAGCCTTCTTGCTCACGCGGCGCAGTCCCAGGGGCAGCAGGGGCAGCAGCGGCAGTGGTGGCCACCGGCACCCTGGTAGCCTCGGATGCACAGCGAGCGTGAGCTCTGCTTCTAGCCAAGCCAGCAGGTGACTTTGAGCTGGGTTTCTGCAGTGTTGGAGGGCATTTTAGCCTCGGTGGCCTCTTGGTAACATTTTCCATCCAGCCCTGGTGGTGAGTGGCTTCCCACAGTCCTTTCAATATTTTTCTAACAATTCCCTGGAGTAAACTCCTCATCTTGAAATAGTTAGAGGTGGTTGTTTTCTGACTGGACAAGTACTGAAACATACTCTGAACTTGCCTCATGCTGCAGCTGAGCCTACTGGTTGCCAAGGGCTGGATTGCCTGGAGCCTCTGTGGAGACGGCACCCAGGAAGTAAAGGAGAAAACTGGGGTGTTGGCTAAGAAAGAAAACGCTGATCGCCTGTGGGGGTACAAAACTGACTGAATGACAGGCTTTGGGTTTGCAAGGCCCACATCCCACTGTAGGCCAGGGGGAGTTGCCTCTCTCAGGCCCCTCAGAGACCCTCGCCGCCAACCCTGCTTTGTGCCATGGCACCCACACCCTCATCAGCATGTCTTCCTGCGTTCACTCCCCCCAAATCCCCTCAAGGTAGGGGCGCATTTTCTCTATGCGCCACGACCCTTGCTGACTGACAAGTGCTGAGCAGAGGAGGGTAGGAGACAGGGAACCCCCACAAGCCAGAATCTGCCAGCACTCTGACGTCTCCTTTGCCCAGCTGTTTCCTCCTCTGTTCACTGGGCACGGGGGAGGGAAAGACAGGTCAGCCCCAGGGAAAAACACGCAGAGAACTGAGTCAGCCTAAGTCAACTCATAAATAGTTAATTCCCATTTATTTAAAGTTCCACCAGTCTGTGTACACTATTTATATTAAAAACACAGGAAATGGGGGCTCCTAGCAAAAATATACATTTCCATTTTGGAGACTGTTCAGACACTGAGAAGAGCTGTACTCTCAGCACTAAGGCGGGAGGGGACGGGGCAGGGGGTGGCACCCCTGGTCAGCCAAGGGTGGACCGGGAGAGGGAAGGGTCTTGCCGGCAGGGAGTGAGCCTGTGGCAGGAGGGCCACGTGCTGGGCTTGTCCTTTCTCTAGGGTGTTTCCTCCCAGAGGTGCAGTCAGACAGAAGGGTCCCGGGAAGCCTGGGCTCTAACCACAGGTCCTCAGAGACCGAGCCAGTCCCTCGCCGCTCCAGCCAGCTTCCTCCCTGAAAAGGCAGCCTAGCGGGCCTTCTACCCTCCTGCTCAGGCAGCACTGCAAGTGTGTGCCAGCCCCTCATCTGTGGCACTGAGGGCACCCAGGGAGGGGAGAGGAGGGGCAGGGTCCAGAGGACCCTGTCACCAGGGGCTGTGCAGGGAGAGTGCCAGGTGACTGGGTAGGCTGAACACAGGGAAGGGGAGGGTGGCAGAGCTGTTCGGACAGATGGTTGTCTCAGTCAACAGGCTGTTTGTCCCTGGCACCTTCCCCTGTGAACAGGTGCTCGGTGGACTCACCGGACACCGCTGCCCACCAGAGATGTGTCCCAGCCCCGGGGGCAGGGACACAGCTCCGCCTGCAGGCCCCTCTGGGCACACACCGCCTCAGCGAGGGGCAGGGCGGGGCCTGAGATAAAGTGAATTCAGTGCTGGTGCTGGAGTGACGGCCCCAGGGGCGCGTACGGGTATGCGTGGCAGCTGAGCTCCAGCCAGCGCCAGTGTCTCCCAGCCGGAGAGAGGAGCCGTCGCGGGTGAGGCCAGTCCTGGCCCTGGCGAGGGGGCGACAGCCGGCCGACAGGCAGGACGAGGCTGCTGCAGACTGGTGGGCGGGTGCGTGCTGATGGAGGGTCCCCCCCGACCCCCGGGCCTGCTCACTGCTTCCCCACCTGCAGGGAACCCACCTCCTTCCAGGCTGGGGGCTGGTCCCCCAGCGGCCAGCGCAGGGGCCATCACCAACACCGGCCCCTGCTGGGAAAAAAAGAACAGAAAGGGTGTTGGTGTGAGTGGGGCTGGGGTGCGTGGCTGGAGCGGGGCTCGAAGGGTTTGGGGGTGCCAGCCTCAGCCTTGGGAGGGCGGCGACAGTCTCAGGGAGGCATCCTGGCCTTCAGGGCTGGACCCAGGGACGAGGGGCCCCTGCTGCAGTCATCCCAGGTCCTGCTCAGCTTCCCCAGGAAGCTGGGCCCAGAGCTTAGTGTTCCTTGGGGTGGCCCAAGCGCTTGCTGTGAAGGCAGGAGCAGAACGAGGCCCCAGCCCCGCAGGAGACTGTCGGTGCAGAGGGCAGGCCCCGCTCCCTTTTGCGCCAGGGGCAGGGAGCAAAAGCAGAGGTCCCGTTCTATGCTGCTGGTGAAATAACAGACTGTCTCAGACAAAGAGAAAGAGCCACAAACATGGGGATGGGGAGAGAGAAGAGGGGGTGAGGGAGGAAGAAAAGGGAACCTACAGAAAGGATGAGAAAGAGCAAAGACATTAGAGAAGAAAGAGGAACTGAGAAAGCGGGAGAGGGGAAAAGGGAAAACAGGGAGTGGGGCGTGGGTGCGATCCCGCTCCTCCGGAGTCGGTGGCCCTGTGCTGAGCCCTCAGGGGCAGCCAACAGGCAAGTCCCATGGTGGCCCCCGTCCCAGTGCTGTCCACTTGCCCCTGGGTCTTGGCTCCTGGAGGCCTGCTGGGAGGCCTGGGTGTGCCCTTCAGTACATGTCCTTGTAGATCTCCTGGAGCAGGGGGTGCAACGAGGTCTCCGTCTCGGTCTTCTTGATCCGCTGCATCATCTGGGCGTGCTCGGTGACCAGCTGCCGCAGGTCAGCCATCTTCTGCAGCAGCTTGGGGAAGAGGTATTGGGCGTCGGGGTGGTTGGCGTGCAGGTGGAACTCGAGGGCACGCAGGATGGTGTCCTGGATGGCCTCCACCTGGGACACGTTCATGAGGCCTGGCCGGTCTGTGGGACACAGGCAGAGGTGTGGGAGGGAGCAGGCACGCTCAAGGGGGTCTCAGGAGGGCAGAGGAGCTCCCCTACCCCCACTCTGCATGGGGTCCAGGGACAGCAGGCCTCCTTGCTGTGACAGACCCTAGCCCTGTCCTGCCAGTGATTGCCTCACTGAGTCTCCTCATCCCCCCCGCCCCCACTCCCCGTTTTCCCGACTAGGTAGTACAGTATCATGGTTACAAGTCTCACTGCCTGATTTACATCCTGGTTGTACCGGACTAGTGAGGAGGCTCTGGGCAGGTCACTCACTCTCTGGGCTTGTTTCCTCCTCTGTAAACTGTGGGTAACAGAAGTACCTACGCATAGGGTGGTTGTGAGGATCAAATGAGTGATAAGCTAGAAAAGGAACTAGAACAGTGCCTGGTATGAAGTAAGCTCTAGGCCACTGTCTGCATGATTATTATGATTATTGTGTTGGAACTGAAAAATGTTGGTAAAATACAGAAAATTTCTCTACCACCAGAAATAGCCCCTATCACCACATGGGTACACATCCTTTCAGTCTTTTTTCTGTTTCATCTCCATCTACGTGAGACGGAGCTGGTCCCGATGTACAGTTGGTGCCTTCCACGTTCCACTGCCATCATCATGTAAGACACTTCCTCATGGTGTCTGAGCTCCAGCTTGGTGCCCGCAGGGAGGCCCAGCTCTCTGGGGAGCTGGCTGTGTTGGGCTGGCCTACCAGCCCCACCCTCACTCACCTCCACACAGAATGATGGCTGCGATGAAGAGAGCCAGGTCACTGTCGTCAAGTTCCAGGGCATTGAACTTGACAGCAAACTCGAACTTGGGCTCAATGATATCACTGAAGGGCTTGCGGAGGCTGCGCAGGAACTCACGGGTGACAAAACCAGTGCCGTTGGCCACCAGCAGCCCATCTTTGTTGACGATGGAGGCCAGCATGGCGAAGATGGCCTCATGCACACCATACTTGAGAAGAGTCACCTGGTCGTTGAGGAAGAGGTTGCCGAAGCTGGGGATGCTCTTGGCGAACTCAGTGAGCTCCCGCACAGTCTCCACTGTGGTGCACTGGCAGCGGTAGAAGACGTGCACGCTGATCTCCTTGTAGGGGGGCAGGCCATTCACCAGCTGCTTCCACACCAGGCCCTTCTCTGCCTGCCACAATGTCTCGATGTCGTGAATCACAAAGGGCTGAAAACCAGGCCCCATTAGAGGCCAGGCCTCGGGGACCCCTGCCCATGTGCCCCCCACATCCCCTGCCTATCCCATGAAGTTAGGGAGAGAGGAGGTCTGGTTCTCCTCCAGAGGAGTTAGGTAGGCGGCCACGGGACCCAGAGCCAGGGCAGTGACACTCACCGCCGTGTGGCTGGTCTTGCCAGTGAGGATGCCGCGGGCCTTCTTTTTGGTCATGTTGAAGTTTTTTAGGTAGGCGTTGTAGATGTGCTTGGAGAAGGCCTTCAGGTCAGCCACCTGTGGGTTGTGCTGACTTCCCTCACTCGCGGTCAGCCCTGCCACCAGCTTTCTCTTCTCAGCCTCTGGCATCCGGCCAAAGCGGATGGCTGCACGGGGAGCAGGAGAGACAGTCATCCAGGAATCCAGGCAGGGGCCAGCCCCTCTAATCTCATCCCTCTCTACAGGTGCACAGGCCAAAGATGGAAACTGTATTTTGAGCCCAGGGCCCTCAGAAGCTCTAGAGGCAGCAGGCAAGAATGCTGGGGAACCTCTCCAGAATGTAAGCTCTAGGGGTGCAGGGATTGTGTCTTCCAAGTGCAGGGCACACAAAGGCCCTAACTCAGAGTGGCTGCCCTGCACCGGCTGCGAGGGAGGCAGCGCAGCGTGGCAGGTAGGAAGACAGTCGCTGGCGTCAAAGGCCTGGGCCTGAGTTCTGGCTCAGGAGCTTACCCGCCAGCCCTGTGACCTCAGGCAGGCTGCTTTATCTTTTTTCATTAGAAAAATGGGGCTGACACTTAAATCTCAGTGGCTTATCAGAACAATTAAATAATTCACACTGTAAGCACTTTAAAAATTGCAGTCATTGTAAGGGAACAGGAACCAAATCTAGCTTCTCTCAGAAAAAAAAGTGAGAATTCGGTTGGCTCTGAGGTCTCCTGGGAAACCCCCTCACTTCAGCCTAGTAATGGGGCAGATGCAGACTGAGGGGAGGGATCAAACCCCTGACCTGCCAGGCACCATCACCTAAAAAAGCTGCAGGCAGAGCGCTCAGGTCCTGCCACCCTCCAAGATGCAAGGCAGTTAGGGTACCTGTGGGCGAAGATATTTAAACAAGAGGCTCTCCCTGTCCTCTGGGGGTCTGACCCAGAGGGGTAAAGAGGGGACAGGTGGGCTTCGCAAAATCCTTCTCTATGGGGTCTGAAGAGGAGACTCTGCAGGAGGCCCAGAGCACAGGGCCGGGCAGGCCGTCTCCCGGGAGCAGTTGGCCTCTAGGAAACTCCCACCTGGCTCCTGGCAGCTGACACATGTGATCACTTACTGGCTCCCACCTGCCCTCAATAACCAAGAAGGGCTAAGGGGATCCCAGGCCTTCGTGGTGGCCTTTCATACTGTGCCGGGCCATCCGAGACAGGCTCGAGGTTCTGGGAGTGGCATTCCACGAGCACGGGTGCTGGCGCCCATTCCCACTCCCCTGGGAACCAGAGAGGGTGAGTCTTGGGCACGGAGAGGCGGTGACTGCCCGGGCCTGGGACCCACAGTGGACGCTGGGCAGTCTCGGGGAGGCAGACCTCAGGCTGGGCTTGCGCTGGCTCCGAGACTCAGGGCCTGATCGGCAAGGTCAGCAGCCGACACCCAGCAGGGCCTACGGCATGCCAGGCACAGCTGAGGGCACCCCGCTTCTGGGCCCCCTGAAACTGGCTTCCGGCAGCATGGAGCCAGCAGCCTGAGCTCGCCCAGGTCGGCTCTCACCGTTGTGCGACATGCCCAGTGCCAGGCATTTCTGGAAGCGGCAGTATTGGCACTTATTGCGGTTCTTCTTCTGGATCTTGCAGCTCCGCTCACACTTCTCGTATTCCAGCTTCATGCGGATCGTCCGGCGGAAAAAGCCCTGAGGGGTGGTGCACAGGGGAGGAAAAGCCACAGGGGAGGGAAAGCTTGAGAATTCTGCTGCCCACCAAGTTGTACTGGGGGCCCAACTAGGCGTGCAGATGTAGAAATTCCTGAACTTTGGAAGTATTAGTGGGGGAATTTTTTTGGAAGGGAGTATGAAAAGGGAGGTAATAAACAGCTACTGATATATCTATGTTCGTCAGGAATAATATCTCGTAGTTTTTTTTGGAATAATTAAAATAATATACCATACTTACTTTAAATGCTTCTTTGTTAATTTGGTAACAAAACTGTATCATGACTAATTTGATTTATTCCTAAATATATCTGGTTCTATGTATTTTCTAGGTTTAATAAAATAATGTGAAAATATGATGGGTGAGCAGTTAGAAGGATGAACCCAAATGCACCACTGAAGAAAATAAATGTAATGATTCCCCCTGCCCCTAAGAGCTCCCTTCAGGTGGTGAGGCGCAGACCCCCATGATCTCAGGAAGATGTCTCAGCCCAAGTCCCTGGTTCGGTCCACCTGTCTTTCCCAGCCAGGTCCCCAGCGGGGGGCACACAGCCCAGGGGACCCAGGTAAGTGGCTGGGTCGGTGCTGTAGGTGCCCAGCAGGGCAGCCCTGACACGGGATCCCCCCTCCAGCAGGACGCAGAGCTGAGGCTTGGAATGGGCCCCAGACCCTGGCTGTCACCCAGGCAGGAATTCCAGTGGGTATTATCAGGGACCTGCCCCCTCGACAGGGAAAGCCTTTTTGGCAGGTTAACTTACCCTGTGGCCACAGCCCTGACAGCCAGCCAGCACCCCCTGCTGCCCGTACCTTGCACCCCTCGCAGGCGTGAACGCCGTAGTGGAAGCCCGATGCCTTGTCCCCGCAGACGCGGCACTCCATGCTGAGGCTGCTGCACGGAGCCCCGTCACAGCCCATCTGCAGCTGGTCCAGCAGTGAGGGTGGGGAGGAGCTCCGGGAGAGGTCTGCGGGCACAGTGTGGGGCCACCTCACATTCTGCTGGCTGGGCCCACGTTCCTCCCTCTCACAGCCTTCGGCTCACCCAGGAGCTCTGTGGCTATGGAAGCCAACCTTTCTGAGGATCAGCTTCTTCATCTAGAATGTGGGGTTAAAGACAGCTTCTCTGGGAGGGCAGCGAAGTTTCCCAAGCATTCCCCCAGACCCAACCACAGCAGGTGTTCCAGAAACGGCAGCTACTACTGTCTGGGGTAAGTCAGGGCCTTCCTGGGTCGACCTCACCCTTGGGGAGGAGGGCAAGCGGGAGGAAGCAGACAGAATCCCTTTAGATTGTCCCTAAGAAGTGGCCCTCATGGGGTTGTGCAGAATCTGTTTTGTGAAGACAGCAGAGTGCAGACTTCTGCCCGACCCCCGCTCCATCTGGGAAATCTGATTCTGGCATGGACTCCAGAGACACTGGCAGGGGTGTCCCACCAAGGCCCAGGGTGGCTGTGAATGTGGCCCAACACAAAACTAAATTTACCTAAAACATGATGAGATTTTTTTGTGGTTACACACTGCAATGTAGTTAACATGTGGCCCAAGACGCCAAAAGGTTGGATACCCTGGCAAGGATCTCCCAAGAAGCTCAAATTCATTCCCACAAAACTTGCTCACATGGAAAGTGCGAAGGTATCAGTCACGCTGACTGGACAGCACACTAAATTTCCACAAGTGTTTTTCAATTAAATGTACAGAAGTTTGAGCCAGGTGTTAAGTGTCAGCAAGGAAGGCAGCTGGTCATGGCAATGACTTCAGGGTATACATACCGTCATATGACTTAGTGAGAAGTGCTGGCACTCTCTTCTGAATCTCTGCCTTGGACACTCAGAAGTGAGCCCCCCCTTGGAAAGGGGACCTGCACTGAGCCCCCGTCTCCTGACCCCCAGCCCAGTGGTGCATGACCCACATGCTACCGTCCTGCCTCTGCCATGCTTGCCTGCCCATCTGCTGTTCTCTGCTCTCTTCCCTGATGACCAAGCAACCTCCGTGGGGGCAGGGTCCAAACCCCAAACCAGAGAATCGGTGGCTTAGAGCAGAGAGCTCTAAGGAAGACCCAAGCCACGGCAATAAGCCCAGACTTAACATTTTCTACTCTGCAAAAGAGCCAATTTTCGCCACCATGGAGTAACCTCCAAAGTACAGTCCACTTCTCCTGTATCTCCCTCCCTCCCCTCTCCTCCCCCGGGACCCCAGGGGTGATGGGAGGAAAGCCTCCCGTCTCTGCCAGGCCCCATGCTGGACGCAGAAGGGGAGCACGGGCACCAGACCACAGCAGAGGACCAGGCGGGTAACACATGTCCCTGGTTCCTAAAATGGCCTGCCCTGTGCCAAAGACTTAGTTCCCAAACTCCAGTCATTCTAAGGGGTGTACTCCGCTCCCCACCCAAGCCCAGAGACGGGGGAAGGGGAGAGCGGGCTCCCTCCATCTCCTGGAGGAGACTGCAGCTAGGGAGGGTGAGGCTGCTTTGGACTGCTCAGTAGCCTTTTTTAAAAAAAGGATTTTATTTATTTAGAGAGACAGGAAGGGAGGGATAAGGAGAGGGAAAGACACATCAATTGGTTGCCTCTCACACACCCCCAACTGGGGACCTGGCTGGCAACCCGGGTATGTGCCCTGACCAGAAATCGAACCCACGACCTTTCAGTTTGCGGGACGATGATCAGTCCATTGAGCCACTCCGGTCAGGGCTGCTCAGTAGCCTTTGACACCACTTGACAGCTTGTGTGTTTACGCAGCACTGGGGCTCCCCCAGCAGAACGTAAAGGCCACAGGGACACCCGGTGACTGTGGAATAAATGGTCCTCAAGCTGCCACGGCGTCCCGGCCCCGGCAGCACCTGACTGGAGGAAGCACTGCCACTCCTGGAGGCATTAAACTGGGGCAGTGGAAGTCACATTCCCAGGGACTGCTGGGGGAAGATGGGGTAACACAGACACCGGCGCAGACGCTGGCTGAGAGGGTATCTGGCACGTCCTCCTCCGGTCCGTGCGCACAGGCACTCTGTGGCACTTCTTGTGAGCATCAGTGTTGTTTCTGTGGCTTGCCCGTCTGCCTCCTCTGCTAGGCTCAGAATGCCTCCAGTCACACTCCCTTTAGATCTCCTGGCCCCTTCCACAGGGACCAGTCACCTCAAAGTGTCCCCCTCTTTGGATACTTCCTCGTTCTTCCTCCTGGCCCTGGGGGCTCAGCAGGTTTCAGTCATTTGGTTGCTACTGATGCTACATGTAGCAATGCCACCCTCTCTTTTCATTCAACAGACATTTGATGAACACCTGCTTCTGCAGGGCAGGACCCGGACCCTGCCCTCAATTAGCTGAGGTAAGAAAACTACAGCACAAGGCAGCGCGTGGCCACGCCGGCCGAGGGGTAGGTGGAGTGCTGCAGGGCTGCGGGGGGGCCGCCGCCCGGGCGCGGGGTGGTCAGGGAAGGTGACTGCTCCCCTCTCTGGCTCAAGGGTGAGTGCTCTGGGTGACCTCCACGCCGGCTTCCAGGTGCTCAGAGACAACAGGCATGGATGAGGGGAAGAATGCAGTTCAGGAGCCACACAGCCCAACTTCAATCAGGGTCCTGTGCTTAAAACCCAGCTCTGCCCTCTGGGTCTCAGTTTCCTCCTCTGTCCAAGGGAGATGGCAATGGTACCTGTCTCAGTCACCTCACCGTGAGACACAGGAGTTAATAAAGAGAAAGCTCTTGGAACTTGGAAGTGCTGTGTAAATTATCAGCTTACAAGGGGAAACCCCCCCAAAACCCCAGAATTTATTTATAAAAAATTGTGTATCCTTAAATGTTTAAACTTCAGTCACCTTCAAAGTACTCTCCATTTGATGCAACACACCTACCGAGAAGTTCTTTCCCCTGCTTGAAACAGTTTTTGAACTCATCCATTTTGATACCTTTTAGTACTTCTGCCGTATCTTGTCTCACCTCTTCCACATCAGCAAAACGCCTCTTTTTGAGGACTTCTTTCTTCCAGGGAAACAACAACAACAAAGTCGCTTGCAGTGAGATTGGGTGAATAGGGAGGGTGGGGCATGGGGGTCGTGCCATTTTTGGTCTAAAACTGCTGAACACTCAGCACGGTGTGGGTGGGTGCACTCATAAATCATGAAATGGGCAAATGCACTGAGTCTCTTCAGAAAGAATTCACTGAAGCCAAACACAGCCTCTCACAACAATGTCAGCTGGCGCAACGATACAGATGGGTTTCTGGAACACTCACTTAGCAGGGGAAGCCTGCACTGTAAAGGGGCCCACGCCCCAGAGGGTGAATCTGGGAAGTTTTGGCCTACCTCGTAAGTTCAGGTGATGCTCCCTAGGAAGCTGCAATCCTGCAGCTTCGCAGCAGCGGGCCCCACACAGCCGGGGCCCGTGCCCCTTCTCTTCCTTCTGGTTAGAAGGACCGTGCCTTTCCCCCCACAGCTTCACAGAAACCCAAGGGCTGTGTGGGTGTGTGTGCTGGGGATGTCTCTCTGCTTATGAGGCCTGGCCTGGGGCGCCCCCGGAATGAGACTAGCCTCCTCTCCTGCCATCTGGCCGGCTGCTGGCCCATGGCTCAGGGGTGTCAGGACTACCCCAAACCCTGGAAGCAGCCAGAATGCCCAAGCCCTACTAGGCACTGAGTCAGCCGGAGCTCTGGATGGTGAGGAGAGACTCAGGGCGGGAGTCCCACAGGGGTCCCAGTCAGTGGGGGCCCCGGGAGGTGTCCCGCCCCAGGGTGGTGTATAGGAGCGGGGTGGTGTACAGGAGCAGGCTGCCGAATTTGAAAGCAGCCAGAGAGGCCTACCAGTCTCAGGGTGTAAGTGCAGCCCCTGCCTATTTGAGGGGAATAAGAAAACACTAATAACTGATACACAAGGCAGAGAGAGGCAGAGGAGGTGAGGTGCTGGGTTGAGAAGTGTGTATATATCTCACAGGGATAGCTTTTGTTGCGGGGTGTGTACTGGGGATACTGAAGTGGGGGTAGCTTGGGTGAGTTTTCCAAAGATAAAAGTTCTGTTTCTTCCTGATTGACCACCTGGCTTAAGGGTTTATCACTGTCACATCCTACCTGAAAGTAACGCTGGCAGGGTGGCCCCCATTCTAGGGCCCAGGTTCTGAAGGTCCCATTACTGCCCGTGAGCTCTTCCCTACCCCGACAGCCGTCAGGCGGGCACTAAGCCCTGCCTCTGAACTTCCACTCCGGCCACACCCTGCCTGACACCCCCTGCAATCTCTCCTACCTTTACTGCCCCCAGGAGGGGAGGAGAAAGGACCAGCATTTATGGTGTCCCCACTTAATGCCAAGCATGTTAGTGTCTGGATTCCTGTTAGTATCATTTCATATCACTTTTGAAGAAGAGTAAGTGCACCATGTAAAAATGAGGAAACTGAAGTTCAGTGTGGTTAAGGGACCCGCCCAAGGTCACTTGCCTATACATGGTGGGACTGGAACTTGAATCTAAACCTGACTTCCCTGCAAAGGCTGTGTCTGCACCAAACGCATCTCTTTTAGTGCATGCTTGCTATGTGCTAAGCACTCCACTGGGCACTTTACATCATTAATCTTGTGAACCTCAAAACAGCCCTTCCAGCAGGTTGTCTTACCTGCATTTTATAGGAGAGAAAAGAGAGGCTCAGGAGGCTAAGAACATGCTGACAGTGGAGTGGCTCTGATGGTTAATTTTATGTGTCATCTTGGCCAGGCCATGGTACCCATGGTACCCAGTTTTTTGTCAAACGCCAGTACAGATGTTGCTGTGAAGGTATTTTTTAGATGTGATTAACATTTAAATCATTACTCTCCATCATGTAGGCCTCCTGAGGGAAGAAGGAATTCTGTCTTTGGATTGCATTTGGACTTGAGCTTCAACATCAACTTCCCTGGATGTCCAGCCTGCTGGCCTGTCCTACAGGATCGCAACTTGCCAGCCCTCACAAATGCCTGAGCCAATTCCTCAAAAATAAATCTCCTGATTTCTCTCTCTCTCTCTATTTATGTATATACACACACGTCATATTAGTTCTGTTTCTCCAGAGAACTTCAATACAGTGGCAAAATGAGATTTATACAACCCTTGGGGCTGAGGTTTTACCCACCGCACTCTACAACATCCCATACATATAAACATGTGTTCATTACTACTAATCAATAATTTGTGATTATGATAAACAAGACACGTCACTGCTGAGGATGACACTATGCCATTATTCATTGCTTGGACTCAGCATAAACACCAGGCTCCTCACCCAGAGAGTGAACTATCTTTGATTACAAGTTCAGCAAATAGACACTGTTGACCTTACTGATGTCATTATGTGTGGCTGGGAGTGTTCCAGCCTATCTAGTCTCTGTCGCTAGAGGAACGCTGCTGTCAGAGCTCTGACAGGGGCCAGGAGGGGAGAGCCTTGTCTATTTACTTTGCTGGCAGAACCCACATGTAAACAGCTTCTGAAGCCAGGCCCAATTCTGCAGGCCTCTGGGCTGGGTTACTGAGCAGCCTCCTTACTTCAGTTGTCCTGTTTGCCTGGACTGTGGGCTCTTCAGGGCAGCTGCCCAGCTTTGTCCTCCACTGAATGGCTGTCCCAATACCCACCAAGCATTTGCTGAGTGAGAGGAGCTGCCAAGGCCAAGGGGAAGGACACTTCATCTTCCTTAGCCCCACACTAAGACCCCCGACCTTTTTCTCAGTGTGACTGGGATGTTCATCACTGAAGCAGGTGGGGATGAAGACAGAAGTAGGCTGCGAGCACCAGCTCCAGCTGCCCCTGCCCCCCTCTTCCCTTATCCGGTTGGGGGACCCTGGGCATATGAGTCTCCCAGATGCTGAGTGCTAACGAGGGCTGTCCTGCTCGCCTCCTGTGGGTGAGGAGGAGGGGTCTGGCAGCTGTGGAGCTGGGTACAGAGATGCGGGTCAGTGCGGAACCTCTGGAGCATCAAAAGGGACGCAAACTGTGTAGCCTTCCTGCTGTTTCAGGCTCAAGTTGCACCCTCCTCACGGGTCTCCGAGGGGACTCCAGAGGTCAAAGTCACAGATTAACAGGATGAGGCAGGGAACCAGCAGGTGCTCAGACCTGTGGTGTGTCAGAGAGCACAATTTACTTCTCACCTGGCTGGCCCTTGAGGTGGGCAGGACATAGCCTCTAACGGCGAAGAGACTGTGGCATGGTGAGGGTCGCAGCTCACACAGCCATCCTGGGACACCTGCCCTGGTGTGTGTGGTCCCAAGCACAGACAGGATGAGGTGCTGTCTCCAGCACTCCTCACCTGCTGGGCTTTTTTTATTTTTAACCTTTTAAATAAAGCAATGTAATTGCTTTTTAAAATATGGGAGTATTCCAGGCTTGTTGGGAAAAATACATAAGGGCGTGCAGCACCTTATGACAGACCCTCTCCACCATGACCCCCTCCTCCGAGTCAGCCCCACTGCCCTCCGTGTCTACTCTTCCAGTGCCTTCTTGGAGGATACATAAGGACTTTGAAACGGCGGGATCGCGAATTTGTCAGGAACTTATTTCCCTGTCAGCACATACAGGCCTGCCTATCTTTTTTAATGACCAGAGCATTCCACAGTATGGCTCTACCACAGTTTATGTAAGAAGTCTCCACAGATGGGCACTTTCCATTTTTTTGCTTTTCGGATAGTGCTGCAGTAAACACGTGTGGACAGTGAGCGAGTGTTTGTAGGGGACACACTCCTGGGAGAAGGCTGCAGGGCCCACGGAACGCCCCGGAAGTGTGGGCTGCTGACAGACTGCCCACTCCCACAGCGGCTGGAGGCCATGTCCTCACGCTCTGGCCAGCACCGCCCTCCCTGCCAACCTCATCTGAAGACACCTCCTTTGATCGATGAGTAGACCGAAAAACGTTTCATGTTTTCTAGCCATCTCCATTTGCCCTACCGAGAACTGTCTGTTTCTATCTTTCTGTTGGGTGGTTTGTCTTGTAGACTTTGTGGGAAGTTTTTATATACTGTGGCTTTAACATGCAGTGATTATGTCAACCCCTCCTTTTTAAATTACTGAACAAGGAAGTCTTTCTATCACCACTTCATGATATATTGATAAACAGAATCTATCAAACATGGGGTGGCTGGGCAAATTCTTCCCCAGACATCTCCCTGCGTGCCCTAAACCCACCGCTAAACCCCCCCAGATGCCATCACTGAGCCCACCGAGCCCCGCCTGGGCACCTAGGCGCCACCCTCTGGCCTGCATGTGAACTGCAGCATTACTTGGGGAGGTGGGCCCCACAAGGGTATGTAGGAAATCCCAGGACAGGACATTAGTCTTCAGGCAACTATGTGCCTGGGCCCAGATGCGGGGACAGGGTGGTCCAGGGCAGGCCGCAAGGCCACAAACCCCGTGCCCTCTCCCCCCTTTTCACTGTCTCTTGATGTCCTCAGTGACATCACTTGCTGATTCTTAGCCCCCAGGGTCTTTCCTCTGCATCCTGATCCTCCTCACCTGGGTCAAGTTCAGAACAGGAGGTGTTATTAGCGATGAGTGACTTGATCTCTTCTGGCTGGGTCTCCAAAGCCGTCCCAGCCACCAGCCAACCCACAATGGGGAGGTTGCCCTAGGGGATGGGGGAATACCTTCTCTTGGCCCTGAAATCACATAAACCTACTTTGGTCACTCTGGGGTGTCTGGGTGGGGTCAGAGGGCCTGGGTGATGGCTGTCCCCTCTCCCTACCCCACCATGTGCCCTGAAGAAGAAGAGACTCTGCAAAACCCCAGGGCTTGCTTTGCAGGGTCAAAGCAGCGTGGCTCAAGGATTCGGGGCTCTGTTAGGTGCTGGCCCGGAAAGGAGCCTGTGCTACCTCAACAGCATCCCGCCCACTCTCCCCGTCTTAACTCTGACAACAGCCGCCTCCTTCTCCCTACGCAGGCACAGGGGGCCAGAGCCCGTCCTTATGCGACAGGCCTACTCCTCTGCCTGGACTCAGCACCTGTAGCCAGGATCTCCATCAGCTGAAGCCAGTAGCCAGCTCAGGACGTCCCCCCGGCAGTATATCCTGACTCCGAGTTCCCCGAGGGAGGGAGCAAGGATCAGCTGGATGTGACGGCACTCAGGTAGAGGGAGAGGAGAGAAGCTGGGAAGATGGGGCAGGGAGCAGGGAAAGGCAAGGGCTGAGAGAGGTGGATCTGGGTGCCCTTGCTGGTGGACAAACCTCATGGTAAAGATGACAGACAGTACACGGTACCAGAGGACACCGTCTGCACTGCTGCTGACAGTGGACAAATAAAGGGGAACCAACAAGTGAGACAGGAGAAGCTAAAAACTGGTCGCACGAAAGTATTATTAAGCACAGTTGTTCATACTAACTCCTCAGTATTTCTGCCTAATTACAGTGCAGCTCAATGATGTGTATACTTAGCAGCAGATCAACTGAGCTGTATGTTTTGAGGGATCATAACAATCACAAGTACAGTGACCTTTCCAGTGTGCTGTTAATACAGATGGGCTCCGGATCCCTTGTGACAATCGCGGTGGAATAATGACAACAACATGCACAACATGCTGATTCAGGTCAGCCTCACCAAAGCCCATGTCTACATCTCCTGTGATCCCTGTCTGTTTCACAGAGAGAGAGGCGCAACGTGCCCGACACATCGCAGCTGACGGGCAGCACGGCAGGGGTGTGAACCCAGGCTCTCCGGCTCCAGTCCTTAACTGCTCTGCTACTCTGAACTCCCACGACGCTGAGTGCGCAAGGCCAGCTTCCCTGTTCCGTGTCCCCACCCACCCCTCCTCACCTGTACAGCTGGCGGAAGGAAGCGAGTGCTCTGGTCCTCCATTGAGCTCTGGGGCTCCTTGTGCCTCTGCCACTTCTTCTTTCTCCTCCTCTTCCCGGACCTCAGGGGCTTCCTCCGGTGGCTGCTCCATGGTTGATTTCCCCTCGGCGCCACGCCTGCAGGCCAGGTCATAGCTGTGGCATCATCTGGGTCTGAGCACAGATGGACCCCTACGGGGCAGTTCCCGTCAGCCTGGCCAAAGGGGAAGACAGGCAGAGGATGAGAGGGTGGTGGGCGTGGGCCAGAATTAAGGGCGACCATCTAGGGGGACCGTCCGGGAATTCTGTTCTGTTGCTTCAGAGCAGGAACGCCGCATCTGGCACTGCTATCCTATCCCATGGTCTCCTCTCCTTGCATAAAAGTCACTTCCCCTCCCTCCTTTTGCCCACTTGGCTTTTGTGACAGGTCTTCAGAGAGCTCTTCATCAACAAACCAGGGGTGACACACCCCTGTGCCACCTTTCCCTGCCTCCTGCCTGCTCTCTGGAGTTCTGGAATCTTCAGGAGGCACATAAGAATGACTTGAGGGGCTTTTCAAATGCTCCAGTTCCCCTGGAGATCCTGATAGGCATCACACCTCCCGACGCCCGGTCCTGTCCCCACCAGCACTCGTACCCAAGAACCATTGTTCTCTGAAGCCACCTTCACAGAGGGAGTGTTCGGGTATTGATAATGGACAGGAGCCCCAACTCGGCTCACTCAGGATTGACAGCGAATCTGCAACTAGACCCTCAGGGGCAGAGCCATCAGGCAAGGGGAAATGTACTCTGTCCTGGAACCTTCCCAAAGAGGGGCTGCTAGGTGGTGACCCCCATGTCTACAATCACCCAGGAGGAGACGGTTCCCACTCTTAACAATGAAGATATTGCCCACAAATGCCACAGTCAGAGGTGGTAAGATCCTGAGGTGCCGTGGGAGGGTCTTCCTGGCAGGGAACAGTAGCAGACGGCCTGAGAGTGGGGAGGACCTTGACCAGGGGAGACGGCACAGAGCTCCCCTTGGGGATGCGGCTTGAGAAAAGACTCAGAGGCAGCACAGTGAGGCACGGCAAGGAGTCCTGTTGGCCGGGGAGTGGGCTCCAGTAGGAGAGAAGATCTGGAGGGATGGCTGGGAAGATGGGTTGTACCCATGCAGGTGCTTCACTGCTCTGGCCCTGGGAGTAAAATTGAACTCTGTCCCACATCAGTGCAGGTCTGAAAGGGTTAGGAGCAAAAAATACCTACTTTAGGGAGATTCAAGCATCTGTGGAACCCCATATCTTGGATGTTGCACAGGCAGCTCAAATTCAACCTATCCCAACAGGATCCACCATACCCCCCCAAAACCCTTCCTCTGCAATTCCTACTTTAGTGACGTGCACACCCACCTACCCGCTCATCAAAGCCAGAAGGCAGGAGTTGTCCGAGATTCCTCCCTCTCTCTCACTCTGCTCTAGGCTTGTAAACTTGGCTGTACTGGAATCACTGGAGAGTTTTCTTATAAATACGGATGTCTGGGCCCATCCCAAAAGATCCTCATTTAATTGGTTTGGGAGCAACTTGGACATTGGTATTTTTATTTTTAATTCCCCTGGTGGTTGTAATCATTTCTTTTCTGTCAGGACTTCGTCTTCCCCTGCTTGGACTGACACAATAACCTCTCAGGCTGTCTCCTGAAGGCAGTTTGAAAATTCAGCCCGAGTCTAAGAGCTGGAGAGTTGGAAATCTGTAGGTTTGGCGGCACCCTCGTTGATATGACAGCCCCAGGAAGGGGTTCAGTCCACCAAAGGAGACAGTGACATACCAGAAAAAGGACAGAGGAAGAGGTACCAGAGCAAACAATGGGGCAGTGGACAGAGGCAGGAGAGACTCAGGACAGCCGAGTGTGTCAGAGCCACAGGAAAGGCCATCTTTCAGGGGGAAGGGGGTCAACTGGCTCAAATGCTGCAGTTTTAAGGGTGATAAACTGATACCACTGGATACAGCGACTGTGAGGCCATCAATGACCTTGGGAAACAAGTTTCAGCCAATGCTCTGATTGGTGTAGTTCAGTTGACTGGGCACTGTCCTGCAAAGCAAAGGTTTCCAGTTCGATTCCCCATCAGGGCATGTGCCGGAGCCCTGGGGGCTGCAGGTTCAGTCCCCAGTTGGGCCCCTTATAAGAGGCAACTGATCGATGTTTCTCTCCCTCTTTTTCTCCCTCCCTTCCCCCCCTCTCTAAGAGTAAATAAAGTCTTTTAAAAAAAAATCTTCACCCAAGGATATATTTACAAGTTTCAGCCAAGTGGTTGGGATGGAAACCTGGGCTCTGAAGAATGAGTGGTAGCAAGGAAGCTGGGACAGTGCATGGAGATTCATTTTTTGGTGACTATGTCAGGGAAAGAAATGAGTAAGGGCACACTAAACTGAGAAACTCGCAAAGCCAGGAAGAGGTTTTCAGAGTAGAGAGAACTCAAAGAAGCTGTGGACAGAGAGGTCTGCGGAGAAAGACAGTCAGGCAGATTCAAGGAGGGGAAGCCAGGGCAGGATGCTTGATGGGAGGAGAATAATTCAAGGGCACGGGATGAGGAAAATAGAAAAAAGTATCACAGCAGTGTCTCAGGCGGCAGATACAGTTCCTGTGGAATGGTCTCAGTCTGTGAGTAAAAGCTGGGACTTGAAGAAAGCAACAGGCCGAGTGGAGCCACTTTGGCAAACATGACACAGAATTAGCTGGAAAGGAATAGAAAGAACGAAAGGAAAGCTACATAAGTGTGGTAGTGGCACATGAATAGACAATCAATGAAAGAGAATACAAAAGTCTGTAAGTAGATGCAAACACATATGGAACTTTAATATGTTATAAAGACAGCACTTCAAATCCAAGAGAAAAGATAGAACCTTCAATAAATGGTACGTATTGGGACAAGTTGAGTAGTCACCTGGAGAAATTAGGCTGGATCCCTATCTTACACCTTATACCAAGACAAGGACCAAATATATCAAAGATTTTAAAGTTAAAACAAACATACATGAACTATACAAATAGTCTTGAGATGAGGGAAGAACTAAGAATGACACTAAACCCATAAAACTTTGTGAGTTAAAAGATTATGGGTAAAGATTAATCAATTTGATTACAAAGAATGCAAACTTTCTACATGGTAAAAAACCATCAGAAGAAAAAAGCAAATAACAAACTGAGATAAATATATGCAACTCTCATAAAAGGGCTAATTCCTTTAAAGTAGTTCCGACAAATTAATAAGCAAAAAACCAGCAATCCAATAGTAAAATGGGCAAAAGATATAAAAATTGTATACATAAAAAGTATACCTTTGGCTCATAAACATATGAAAAGATACTCAACATCATTCATAAAAAGAGAAATGCAAATTAAAACAATACTGAAATACACTTTTCTGATCAGATTAAAACAAGTGCTAACACATTGTTGCTAAGCGTGTAGGAAATAATCTCACATCCCTGATGAAAAGGTCAACTGGCACAACCTCTACACAGGCTAATTTGGCTACATCTATCCCAATTACAGGCGCACATTCCCTTTGACCTGGAAACACCATTTCTAGGCTGTAGCCTAAGCTATACTTCCACTTGAGCAAAATAACACAATGTATTAGTACAAGGTTATTTATTACAGTATTATTTGACTCGTAAGAGGTGGGGAATCACCTAAAGGTCCATTAATAAGGGACTTATTAAATAAATCACGATATGGACACATGGAATTCTATGTATGCAGCCACAAAGAAGAATGATGACATTATGGACTGGTAATGAAGTCAAATATACATGGAAAAATTTCAAAGGTAACAAGATATCATAAGTGGAATGTATAATTTCCAAATTATTAGAGTAGAATTGGAAAACTTAGGAAAAGTCATGTAGAACTCTTGCTTTCTGGCTGAGAAAAGTCTCACAGACATGTTATGGAGACATAACAACTCAATGCAATGTAGGATGGTGGATTCGACCCCGGGATGGAAAGAGGACGGTGGTGGAAAAACTGGTAAGTTCCAAACAAATCCTGCTTAGCTGAGTTAATGGTATTGTCCAGTGTTCATTTCTTCTTCTTCTTCTTTTTTTAAGTATATTTTATTGATTATGCTATTACAGTTGTCACATTTTTTTCTCCCCTTTGTTCCCCTCTGCCCTGCATCCCAGTATTCATTTCTTAGTCTTGGTAGAGCTATACGATGTTTATGTAAAATGTTAACGTTGGGGGAAGCTGGATGATGTCAGAAGGCACCAGGTCACCATGGCACCGCGGAGCTGCTCATCTAGCCCAGGAAAGCCCACCTTCCTTAGGTGAAAAAAATTAAACGCCTGTTTTGCAAGGCACCGTTTGCCATTTTTCTAGTGCATGCAGCCGAGCACCATCCTAAGGGAAGTAGGATAAAAGGGCACTTAGCCAAAGAGGAGGGACTGCGGGGAAGGGGTTGGTGACAGCACTGGAAAAGGACCTTGGTAACCTCCCAGAGCAGTTTTTGACGGTTGCGGCATGTATTAAGCTATCTAAATAAATTAGCTACTATCCAAATAACAAGGACCAGAGACACTGATTCTTCATGTTCCACAGAATGGAAATGTCTAGAGGTCAGTCAGGGGCAGGTGACGGCAGAGACACCCTCAACCAGACCTATGGCTGAAGGGCTATCAGAGGTTTCTGAGGAGTGGCATCAGGAGGATGCGCAGCACGGTGACGGGGGTCGGACAATGTGATGTCTAGGAGCCATGAGCACAGTGGCGGCACTGGCCACGGGGTTAAGTGGAATAAGGCTGATTAGAACACACTGTTTTAGGATCCATGCAGCTCGGGTGTCGGTGGACACGGGGGAATGCACACCAGGCTGTGGTGATGAGAGTGGGAGGGGGCCATGAAGATTTGGGGGTTCCCACTAGCAGGTAGAAACAGAAGAGAAAAAACTACGATGCTACCTTGTGTAGGTACTTGACAAATTTCTCACACATTCCCTCATAACCCACTGAGGGATCTTGGGAGAGAGGACAGAGTTCCTTGTTAGGACTGAACCCTGAAGGGTGAGGGAGGAGCTGGCTGATCTCCACTGTGCATCAGGCGCCTGCCGGGTGGGTGCGCGGCAAACAGGCTCTGCTCAATCCCAACCCCAACAAGATGGGCCTTATGAGCTCCCCTGGGCAGATGAGAAAAGCGACAAAGGGCTCAGGCCTGCGGAGCCTGACCAGGTGTCTCTGC